AACTGTATTGACAACATAAAAGGAACACGTTAACAACTGTATTGACAACATAAAACGAACACGTTAACAACTGTATTGACAACATAAAAGAAACACGTTAACAACTGTATTGACAACATAAAAGTAACACGTTAACAACTGTATTAACAACATAAAAGTAACACGTTAACAACTGTATTGACAACATAAAAGGAACACGTTAACAACTGTATTAACAACATGAAAGGAACATGTTAACAAGTTTACTAATAGCACAAAAGTTAATAATAATAATCCCTACATTTGGTTCTTCTTGACAGACACAAGGGAAAATTTCTTCCGCTGGGAGACACTTTTTCATCCAAACCGAACCACACAGAAAAATCAACAAGACAAAGTTGACAACGATCATCGTACATAGTCTTTGATGAACACCTAAAACGAAAGAAATAGATCTGATTTGGCATGATATCTTCGCTAATATGTTTCTGAAAGAGATAAAATTTCAGTCTCTAAAAAAAAAAAAGTTGTATACAATAATCGGCATAATTTAACTTCCTTGTAACTTGTTTGAGAAATAAACAACGCTAGAAATCGGGTTTCGATACCCGTGGTGGTTGGGTGGTCAGAGCACAGATAGTCCCTTGTGTAGCTTTGTGCTTAACTACAAACAAACACATATCCTGGCGGTCTCCCCAGTGGCACAGCGGTATATCTGCGAATTTACAATGCTAGAAATCGGGTTTCGATACCCGTGGTTGGTGGTCAGAGCACAGATAGCCCCTTGTGTAGCTTTGTCCTTAACTACAAACAAACACATATCCTGGTGGGCTCCCCAGTGGCACAGCGGTATATCTGCGGACTTACAACGCTAGAAATCGGGTTTCGATACCCGTGGTGGGTGGACAGATAGCCTCTTGTGTAGCCTTGTGCTTAGCTACAAACAAACACATACCCTGGCGGTAGATGTGTTCAGTTTATTAATTGCAAACATTCAACGTAGAGCGAAAGTAACACATTTATCATATTATAACCAATGCTCGAACTGTTGATATAACACGTAGATATTGTTCTCAGATGGATACTATTAACAAACATTTTGTGTAAATAATTCATTATATATATACTAAAACACCTACGGATTCTGTTATAAGTTAGAGTTATTTTTTGTTTGTAAATTACAAGATTTCTCAAAACCTGAATATTAATGAAAGAAAGACTAAAATGAGCGCCATCTACCTTACACAGCTAAATAAGTTTGGTTTGTTTTTGAATTTCGCCCAAAGCTACACGAGGGCTACCTGCGCTAGCCCTCTCCTTATTTAGTAGTGTAAGACTAGAGGGAAGGCAGCTAGTCATCACCACCCACCGCCAACTCTTGATTACTATTTTACCAACGAATAATGGGATTGACCGTCACGTTATAACGCCCCCCACGGCTGAAAGGGCGAGCATGTTTGGTGTGACGGGGATTCGAACCCGCGACCTTCAGATTGCCAGTCGAGCGCCCTAACCACCTGGCAATGCCGGGTCAGCTAAATAAGAAGGAAATTCTTTAAAGATACTCGAGGTCTAAATAAACTGTCTAAATAATCAAAAACCATCCAAAGATTGTCATCTCTTCTCTCATATCCAAAGTATCAAATTTATTTATTAGGAGTCTTCTGAAAACCTCACATCATACCAGACTTTGGTAAGGGATGAGATAATTCAGATTATCAGTCATACCTTAAAGACTTAGAGAAGGTATGAAAAGTTTCAAATTATAACTCATAACTTGAAAATTAAGGTTAGTTTCGAAATGTCTTAGACCTATATCTCATAGCTTGACAATTGGTGTTTGTTATGCAATGTTTTGCGAGATCAATCATATTTTGAAGATTGGAGTTAATACTTTGTTTTATGAAGGACTAGGCTAAGTGATGGAATACTTCAAGATATCTTCCACGTCTGGAGGATAAGGGCTTAGTTATGGGGTATTTCAAGATATCTCCTGTACCTGGAAGACTAGGTTTAGTTATGGGATACTTCAAGATATCTTATATACCTGGAAGTTAAGTTATAGTTATGGGATATTTCAAGATATCTCCTGTACTGGAAGATACGGTTCAATTATGCGATATTTCAAGATATCTTCTATACCTGGAAGATAAGGTTCAGTTATGGGATATTTCAAGATACTTTCCGTATCTGGAAGACTAGGTTTAGTTATGAGATATTTCAAGATATCTTCTATACCTGGAAGTTAAGCTATAGTTATGGGATATTTCAAGATATCTCCTGTACTGGAAGATAAGGTTCAGTTATGCGATATTTCAAGATATCTTCTATACCTGGAAGATAAGGTTCAGTTATGCGATATTTCAAGATATCTTCTATACCTGGAAGATAAGGTTCAGTTATGGGATATTTCAAGATATCTCCTGTACTGGAAGATAAGGTTTAGTTATGGGATATTTAAAGATATCTTCTATGCCTGGAAGATAAGGTTCAGTTATGGGATATTTCAAGATATCTTCTATATCTGGAAGATAAGGTTTAGTTATGGGATATTTCAAGATATCTTCTTTACCTGGAAGGCTAGGTTTACTTATAGGATACTTCAATATATCTTTCATACCCCAAAGACTAGGCTTAGCTATGACATACTGTTAGTATACAGGCATACCAAGCGCTTTCAACGTTCTTATTTTAATGTAAAAATTTTCGTTTATTCTGAATCTATGTAGGTTTCGCATTTGATCCCGAAAACTGTAAAGTTCACTTCATTCTAGCTGACTTTGTTTCTTTGTTATTATTTACAGCTAATACCTTTACTGCCCTTGTGTGATATTTCTGTAATGCTGCACATTGTGCAAAAATGTAGAAGATAGCAGTGTCGGATGATATCTCGCGGTAACGACCTTCTATATTTCGAACGAGAATGACCAGTCACGTGTAAGCGCTAGTCGCTATGGGTAAATCAACGTTTCCCGTTATGTAAGAAACGTTTGTTGAAAGAAAATGTGTTGATCAACTTCAGAGTTCAGTCCACAACGCAAGTAGAACACTGTGCTTCGTGTCTTTGATATAAATAGTGTTCTTATTTGTATTATTCATCATGACCAGTCTCTTTATTTGTTAACTTAAAACTTCATCAATTTAGTTGAATTCAATTCCCCTCGTAATTTATCTGTGAACCTAGCTAACATTATATGAAGAAATCAGGTTAAACTGAAAATACCACAGTCTACGTGTAGTTATAGGATACTTCAGGATATCTTATGTAACCAGAAGACTACGTGTAGTTATGGGTTACTTCAGGATATATTATGTAACCAGAAGACTACGTGTAGTTATGGGTTACTTCAGGATATCTTATGTAACCAGAAGACTACGTGTAGTTATGGGTTACTTCAGGCTATCTTATGTAACCAGAAGACTACATGTAATTATGGGACACCTCAAGATATCTCCTGTATCTGGTTTAGTTGTGGGATACTTAAATATATCTCCTGTAGCTTAAAGACTAGGTTTAGTTATAGGATAATTCAGGATATCTTATGTAACCAGAAGACTACATGTAATCATGGGACACCTCAAGATATCTCCTGTACCTGGTTTAGTTATGGGATACTTGAAGATATCTTTTATACTTGGAAGACAAAGTTTGTGTGGTGGGATATTGCGGTTGTATGGTATACAACAGCTATTTCAGCTATATTAACCAAGCTTCTAGTTTTACCCCACATGCTACAGCCAGCTATGAGCTCATTAAGGGTAACTTTTATTTAAAGACTAAACTTGATTTATAATATGTTTGAATGCAGTTCGTCAACTTTGGTAGCTTATGTTGCTTAAGGAGTGATGCAAGGTACGATAACCCACGGAGAATCCGATTAATGGTGGCCAAGACTTCATTTAATGTATTATGAAAAGCGCTATTTCAAGACTGCATTGCTTACAAAACTATCGATTTTAGACTAGACAAGGTTATTATAATGTAGCTATTTAACGTATGGATGTTTTTTTTGTGTGTATATTTTTTTAACAAGAAAGGAAAACTTACCTGAGTAAGTGCAGGTTTTCAAATATTGTGATACAGCGGTTGTTATCGAAGAACGAGCCTGAGAAAGGTGCAGGTGCTAGGTGTGTCCTACTGTATCACTTAACCAGGTGTGCACGTTCCTACACGTGAATCAGTTTGCAGTATTGTTGTTCAAGTCCAAAGTGGTTTTTGTACGTTCCAACGTTATCAAAACGGGAAACTTTATCAGTTATACAAACCGACCTTTAAAAAATATTGATTCCACCATTTTGGCTCATAAAACAAGATGGAGGCTCAATACGCAATAGGTGAACCGACAAGAACAACGTCACAACGTAGGTCTTTGTACTGTTATTCTAAAGAAACTTTGTGGTCTTACTGTTACTGAATATAAGCAGACAAACAGACAAAAAACAACTCCCATTAAATATGTAGTTATAGGATACTTCAAGATATCTTCTGTACCTGGTTTAGTTATGGGATACTTCAAGATATCTTTTATACTTGGAAGACAAGTGGTAGTAGTGTTTGTTTCAATAAAAACATGCGCGTTATGAATGTAACCATGGTAATAGTATTTGTTTCAACAAAAATATGCGCGTCATGGATGTAACCATGGTAGTAGTGCTTGTTTCAATAAAAACGTGCGCGTTGTGGATGTAACCATGGTAATAATGTTTATTTCAATAAACTATGCGCATTGTGGATGTAACCATGGTAGTAGTGTGTGTTTCAACAAAAACGTGCGCGTTATGGATGTAACCATGGCTACAGCGTGGCTGTATGGCATAACTTATTGGCTTATTTTTCAGAATTTATAGTACATACTGGAGGGATTTAGACATTTTGGTAATAAAAAACGACCTTGAATCTCCAGATAATAATAATAATAATAATAAAACTTTATATTCACAAACGTTTCTTCTTTATGGCTGTATAAAATCCAGCTAATTTATAACGTAAAGTTAAAGGACGGAGAATTCCTAAATTTATAGTAGATAGTACAGCTAGATGATATGAGCTTTTTGTCGTTTAAGCTTGGCTCTGGTTTTATTTGAAGATATTTCAAGCCCCGTTTACGATATAACCACATCAGATTAAAACAAAATTACGTTCATAAGTTATGTAAATAAAACTTGTAGAGGAGTTTTAATGATACATACATTAAAATATAATTTTGTAGATGAATTTTGAGATGCGGGAAAATTTCTAGTTAACGTAGTGTTCCCGAAGGGTCAGCGGTAAAGTTAAGGACTTACGACGCTAAAATCCGGGGTTCGATTTCCGCGGTGGACATAGCAGGTAGCCCAATGTTGCTTTGTTTTAAAACAAACGAACAAAAAAAAAAAAGTTAACTTAATGTTGGTTTGTGACAGTCTTTCTCAACCATCGGTCCGCAGAACGGTGTCGGTCAATTTCACCCACCTTGCTGGGATTTCACAAAAAATATACAAACAAAATTGAAATAATATTTTTTTTTATGTACTTGCATTTAATTGGTCCGCGACAGTTTAGGGAGCCAGTCCCCGATGCCGAAACGGTTGAGAAACATTGGCTTATAATATTACTGTTAAAATTCCGATTTAAATGGATTTAGATAAAGATAAATATAAAATAATGCCAAGTTTGGCGTTTCGAATATCTGTAGAAAATTTGGGCAAACTACTCGAAATTAATAAAAAATGGCCAAACTTGTAACTTGGGTAATTTGAAGTTTAAAATCGTATAAATAAAGAAGTTTTACAACTAAAACATTTTTGTTTTATCAAAATATACGTGGAAACGTCATATATATATATATATAGCACTGCAGAAGACATAGAAATAAAAAGAAAAATATGGAAAGACACACGAAATCTTCGAATTATTCTTGAAAAACTTTATTTCATATTTCGTCTACAGGGCTTGTGTCAACGAAAAACACAAAAATCCCATCAATTTCAGCATGGTTGAACAAAAAAGACAAACAAACTCAAAATGACGCTGTTCTTTCTTTGAAAGATGCTGAAGAAAAATATCATTTCACTCAAAGTAGATTTTGTCCTCATATTCTGAGAAAAACATCTGATAAATCAGCTCAAGTCTGTTTTAAGTCTGAGAGTTCGACTTGTAAAAATTATTGGAGCATATTTAGTTTTCAACGGCAAAAAATACGTCGAAGACTTTGAGGAAATTACAACGAAATGAGAACAAAAATATAATGATTTTATTCATCGTTTGGTAAAAAATAAACACATATAAAAAATTCGAACTGAAAAGATATTTGCGTGACTAAAACAAAGTGTTACAACCTGTTCAGACCAAAAGACAAAATAGAATCAGTTAACCTTGTCTTGTGGTTGCAGATAACCTTGTCTTGTGGTTATCTGGTAGATATATTATTTTACTTATTTTCTTCTCTGTTTATATTTGAGATTTGAAATGCACAGGAAAAAAATTATTTAAATATTTCGGACCGCCACCTATCTCGTGCTTAATAGGGCATTATACAGTTTATGGTTATAGCAAGTTCTCAAGTTTACAAGACACTAGTTTTCGATAGTCAGGTGTTAAACTTAGAAAGTACAGGTAAGGGACGGAGAAGTCCAATGTTAACGTAATAGAGTTAAATGATGGCAAGAAGAGAAATGTATAACTAGGTGATGGTGAGAAGTCAGATTTTTCTAGGTGATGGTGAGAAGTCAGATTTTTCTAGGTGATAGACTTCTCACCATCACCTAGAAAAATCTGACTTCTCACTAGAAAAATCTGACTTCTCACCATCACCTGGAAAAATCTGACTTCTCACCATCACCTAGAAAAATTTAATTTATCACCGTGTGATGGTGAGAAGTCAGATTTTTCCAGGTGATGGTGAGAAATTAGATTTTTGTAGGTGATAGTGAGAAGTCCGATTTCTCTGGGTGATGGTGAGAAGTCAGATTTTTCCAGGTGATGGTGAGAAGTCAGATTTCTCTGGGTGATGGTGAGAAGTATGATTTTTCCAGGTGATGGTGAGAAGTCAGATTTTTCCAGGTGATACTGAAAAGTCACATTTTTTGATGTGATGGTGAGAAGAAGTTAAACAACTGAACGGCTAAGAAACAACTCCTAAAGGTTAGCTATAGGGAACAAAACTACAAAAAGTAAAATATAGCTTTCAACCAATATTACTACATTCACTCTAGCCTATTGTGATGTTTCTCCTCGATACTTATTTCCCCTCCCCTCCTGCGTAGCCATAGATCTGGATTTAAAACACTATATGTAGGCTTAGAGTGATGGCATCAATAAATTGAAAGATAATACACATTAGTAACCATGAGATTATGACAAGTCATAACAACAGGTTCAGACATATCTGACAGTTGGTACATCAAACACACGTGTATGCTAATCGAGTAACATCAAGTATTTCATTAACCAATATATGTACACTTCTGACTGACAATTAGGACATCAAGCACATGTGTGCTAATCCAGTAACATCAGGTATTTCGTTAATTAATATATGTGCACCTCTAACTGACAGTTGGTACATCAAGCACACGTGTGTATTAATCCAACAATTTAAGTTACATATGATCATTTCTGGTTGACAAGTGGTACATCAACCACATTCCATTTTCTGGAAGGAAACTATACAGTAAGTAATGTAATAACCCTTAGAAGATCTACATTTTTCTGTGATTAAAATACAAAGGATTCTAATATTACAAATGAAAAACGTGAAAAACGCTGTTTTTCTTGACAAAGAAAGATATACTTACTCCTTCTTTTCAGCTAACCAGAAATTTATGAATTTGCAATATTCTAGAAGAATACCTGCATATCTTAACCGTAATATTATGCGCAATATTTACTGTAATATTCCAGAAGAGTAACTACCTATCTCGGATTTGGCGTAATGGTCCATGTTATACTGTAACCTTCCTGAAGAGTAACTGCATATATTAGATCTAAATAACGTCCCATGTTACACTGTAACGTTCCTGAAGAGTAACTACATATATTAGATTTAAATAACGTCCCATGTTATACTGTAACATTCCTGAAGAGTAACTGCATATATTAGATCTAAATAACGTCCCATTTTATACTGTAACGTTCC